CATAGTGATAAAATTGTAAGATATTAGCCTGCACTGTCATGGCACATCATGCCAAGATGCCAGTATACTAAAAGCATTGGCATTCCAATCAAAGTTTTTATTCTTGTTAACCTGATGTCAGTGCTTGTTTCTTTCACAGAGCGTTTGGTGTGATTTCAATGTGTATTGGTACTGGTATGGGTGCTGCTGCCGTCTTGGAGTACCCTGGAACAGTCTAAATGCTACAAACATTTTCTCAAGCTAAACAACCTAGTATCAATGTCAATGAGCGATAATGAATATATATAATTTTTAACAAATACTGTACTTTGGATTTATATAACCATTAATTCTTTCATGTAGATTTTTAACTCAGTGCAATATAATGAGGCCAGTATATATAAATCCACAACAGATATATCTACTTGAATTTGTAAATACTGTACTGTGTTGCCATATTAAAGTTGTTCTAGAATTTATTTTTGGAAATGGCTAACCAACAAGTTCAGGTTTCCCACAACTGATGTTGTTTTACCACTCAGTGTTGTCAACTGCTGGTCTTCTAAATAAATACCAATCAAGACAAACGCATGTTTAAAATAGTCTTTAATGATATTACATATTATTCCTTACATAAATGTACATTACTAACAGACTGAAAGACACAGAGTTGAACTACTTTCTCATTCATATTATTGGGAAAGCACTGAAATTTTATCATTTACTGGTGGTCACTTTGCACGGTTATTATAGTAAAAAAAAACAATTCCATTAACCCTTTGTAAGCCAACTTTCATCATTCTAGATCATGTCCTATAGCCAAAAACTGACAAATATTTACAAAATATTGCACCAAAATGGAGTTCAAAGGGTTAATTTGTTTGTGCTAACAGCAAAACTTGAGTTACCAACACTTCTAGTCAGTAAGGGGCAAAGTCACCACTTTCACTCAATAATGTGAGCATACCTGAAGTAAATAAACTTTCTATGATTACATTACTCCATAATTTGTGACTAGTATAGTAGACATATGTCAACATTACACCTGCAGCCACTGAAATTATTGAGAAACTAATAATGAGACATTCATCAATATACAAAACACATTTTGTAAAAGTGCACAACAAAAGCTTAAAAATAATAATAATAAACAATACATTTTTAAAATACTTTGAGTTCTGTATGGGAAACTAGTATGGGAGTTCACCTATCTTCCAAAATCACTAGGGTATCATTTTGTGCTCCAGCCAAGGCATCTTTAAATTAACATATCTACACACCATATTTCATTACTTTAAGGATGGGTTGTTGACACAAGGCTAGAAATTCAAACAAACTACCGGTAGTTCAGATTTTAACCTTTTTTCAATTCAAAATAGCCACCAGGAGTATCGCACTTATTTCAAAGGAAATCTTCTCTAAATTCAATATTTACACAATTCATTGTGAATATCAAGATAAAATCAATTTAAAAGTTCATCTATTTGCATAATATTAATTTATAGAATAGTATGTATATGAACATGAAAACAAAATGTGGTTTGTATGAAAACTACCAATATTGTAAGAACATACATTTGACTACCTGTCAACAATTTTACAAATTTATTTGGTAGCATGTTTTCAAGACAGTAAAACTATATGTACTTCACCAATTGATTTAAGGATGACAATATCAATTTGTTCAGACAATGTACACTGTATGAAAGTTTTAACTACCAAATTTGGTCATAGAGTGTTATACAAATAGTACAGCTAGTTATCATGGAAATTACAAACTGCAGAATTTTAAAATTTACTGAGAAATCTTAAAATGTCAAAAATATTTGCGACAATCAAACGAAAGTCAATTTTAGAACTGGCAGTGGTCAGGTTTGGATGACACTCAATTTCACCTCCTTAGTCGATCGATTTCTTCAATAACTTGTACTAACTTCTGTCTTGACTTCTTCTGGAAGAGTGATGTCACTCCACTGGTAACCAGACTAGTCAGTTGTTTAGTGGAGTATTCCTGTAACAAAAGATACCAATATGAAATCTTATGTACACAAGTAAGCCTGCCATCTAAATAAATATATCATTCACAGAGTAATTCCTCATGAACACGGACCACAAAACATCTATGAATGAGGACAGCTTTAGGGTGCAGGTTCAAAATTTGTATGCTTCTGCTGATGAGATCATTTGAATAATCATAATATGAGGAGTATGACCCTCATCAAATTCAGAGAAGAATATTTTGTCAAGTTGGTTTTAAAAATAATCAAAACGAGGATGGATCACCAAGATTTTCTCCATGGAATTTTTGCTATATTAGCATCAAATGCTAAAAGGGCAGAAGAGCCACCATTTGATTTATGTTTTTGGGGCTCTAATGAAATCATTTTTTCTTAATTACTGAAAAGCTACCTACCCTATGGTCTCTGATCCATTGTTCCATATCATTTTCTGTCAAATAAAATGCTTTTATGTATGTTTCTACATATTCCCTGTCAGGTATGGGTCTGCAATAAATAAAATTTCAGAGACTTCAGGCAAAGTACATGTATGTATGGATGTAAATGTCAGGTTATTACAAGAATATCGTAAAGCATGCCTGAAGACAATGCAGCAGAAAATGATTTCTAAGCAGAGGTTGATGCATCTTCTCACTGTGAACTAAATTTTGAAACATGCATGCCTGTATCATGTATCCCTTTCCAAATAAGGTAGGATGCAGATACCTGGTAAATACTGCAAAATTACTACTACATACTCATTATTCTTCAATTCTAAATTAAAGACTCATTGTCTTACCTAATGTCTGTGAGTTTTTCTAATTTCATTAAAAACTGTTGGAAATCCAACTGCATCAGTGCCCTGCCTTCATTGCTGCATTTCTTAGCACAAGCAAATCTGAAAAAAAAATTATAAGTAGTTGTATTGTATTGTATTATATTGTATTGTAAGGAACTCCTCACCAACACTTTAACAACACTCATTGGTGAACTGAAATGATCAAATGGGATTATTGACTCACCCCTCTACAAACGTCCAGTTTGACAGTCTTATCACATGTTCCCATAGAATATAATAGACAGGCTGAGGCAGAGGAACTTTCCTACAAATACAGATCATTTCTGGCATTATTTCATTTTAAATCATAATTGTAAAATTTGTGTACAGAATTGTTAGTGAAATCCACCTCTGTGGTAAAAGGTAAGTCATACATCAGAATTATCAGACATTCAGGAAATTACTATTACTGGTGGGTAATAATAAAGTTCACCACTGGTGGCATCCTCACTCAGATCCAATACAAGAATACCATTAATCCTGTGTTTAAATGCTGCCAGTAACAAAATTAGTATAACGCTATCAACTCAATAAATTTATTGAGAATAGATTAAATATGGAAGTGATTCTTACCTAGCTACTTCCTGGATCCTTAAATCAAATAACTGAAGTTCCTGGAGTGAAAGAAAAACATTTGATTTAAAGCTAAAATATTTAATATACACTTTCGCATACATATCTTATCAAAGCTGTAGAACCCCATTAAATCAATGAATCAATGGATGATATTACAAAATCAATATTTGATTTGAAGCATTTTCTATTGAAATTAGTTTGCACACAACACTCTTGAGTTGTTACTCCAACAATCAACAATTACATCCTTTCCTTTCAATTAATAGGACAAATATTTTTAATACTAGTGTTACCACATGTCTGATTGAATTTGACCGTTACATTTCATTTTAATACTCCCTTGGTATATTGTGTTTAGTTGTGCACACAAAGCAGAATTCAACAAAACAGAAATGGATTAATTGTAGCGAAGACAATAATTGTCACAACACATATGGTTTTCACCACCAGACTTTGTCGCTCAATTTTTTCGCACATTTTTCTTAATTTCTTTAATATTTCTGGAAATTAACCCTAATTTTCAAGCCAACAGAGAAAATTTGAATCAATTTTTAGTTTTTACTAAAAACAATTGGCATTTTTGTCACAATCTTTTGAAGGAGAAACAGAACAAAACAGGACTATTTTGTGTTGAAAAGAGGAAATTGGTGGTGAAAAGATTAACTTGTGAACAACATAATTTCAGATTTTATTTTTAGATTTTAACTAAGTTTTGCCAATCATACAACTCTCAGACAGTGATTAAAGCCAACTAATATCCTCAAAAACTGTCCTTAATTCATTGATTCATGAACATTAACATACATAATGTACATGTTCAGTAGGCACCAGTAATATTATAGTATTTATTAGTTAATCTACCTGCACTAACCAATCCACATATGGACTGTGTTGTGACATGATTTCTTTGATGCCAGTAATATTATAGTATTTATTAGTTAATCTCCCTGCAGTACGGAACCCACATATGGACTGTGTTGTGACATGATTTCTTTGATATCAGTAATATTATAGTATTTATTGGTAAATCTACCTGCAGTAACCAATCCACATATGGATTGTGTTGTGACATGATTTCTTTGATATCAGTAATATTATAGTATTTATTAGTTAATCTACCTGCAGTACGGAACCCACATATGGACTGTGTTGTGACATGATTTCTTTGATATCAGTAATATTATAGTATTTATTAGTTAATCTCCCTGCAATAACAAATCCACATATGGACTGTGTTGTGACATGATTTCTTTGATATCAGTAATATT